GACGTAGGAGTCTGAGAGAGTTGGCTAGCGAGGAGAACATATCTTTTAAGTCCGTCCACAACATTCTCATTGACATTTTAGGCATGAAACGCGTCGCCGCTCGACTAGTTCCAAAAGAGCTCAATTTTGTTCAAAGAGCGCAGCGAAAGCATGTCGCTGAGGACATGGTTTCCCGAGCTTCTACGGATCCGACCTTTATGAAACGTATAATAACTGGCGACGAGACATGGCTTTATGAGTACGACATGCAAACAAGCCAACAGTCTTCAGAATGGCGTCTCGAAAACGAGCCGAAACCCAAAAAACCGCGGCAAAGTCGCTCCAAAATCAAGGTGATGCTGACAGTTATTTTTGACTACCGTGGTGTGGTTCACTCCGAATTCCTTCCAAAGGGAGAAACAGTGAATAAAGAATATTATTTAGGCGTCATGAAGCGTTTGCGTGAGAGTATCCGCCGAAAACGTCCAGATTTGTGGCAACACAACTCATGGATGCTGCACCATGATAATGCACCATCACACACAGCCATTATAGTGAAAGAGTTTTTAGCGAAAAAATTCAACAAAAGTTCTCGACCAAGCACCGTATTCACCTGATATGGCTCCGTCTGACTTTTTTTATTTCCCAAGTTAAAATTACCACTTCGAGGAAAACGTTTTGAGTCGATAGAAGCCATAAAAAAATTCGCTGAATGAGCTAAAGGCCTTACCGTAAATAGCCTATGAAAAATGTATGGAAGACTGGGTGAAGCGTTGGAGATGTTGTATTGCAAGCGATGGGGCCTACTTTGAAGGCGATAAAATAAATTTAGATGAATAATTTGTATTTTTTGTTTTATTGACAAATTCCCGATATTTAGTACACAGAAGGTATTATGGTTTTAAGTTTAGAGAAAAGCATATTTTATCATACCTTGATCGAGATTTCGTATTTCAACCCTACTTTCAGAAACGAAAGTGCCGCATTGCTTCCCGATTCAATGACTTATTAATTTAGTATTCATGCGTCAAATGCCTAGCTCTATCGTTTTTAAATGTCAAAAGCATATGTCATGATATATTTTAAGGTACTTTTATTTCGATCAAGGTATGATAAAAAATAGTACACGCATAACGGGAGGAAAGTATGACATCGCAACTCCCGTTCTTATCACCCTCGCCTTGAGCTCGGGTGACAATACCGTGCTGGTTGCAATGTCACACTTTCCTGCCTCGGTGCGTAATATACTATTGTTGTTAAGTGACATAATTGGGCACTTGTTTTAAAGGCAATTTGCCCGGCTAAATAGTAACGCCAAAATTTTAGCAAGCTTATGCTAGAAATTTTATTTCGAGAGATTCAATTTCGCAGACATAATCTTTGCAATATTAACCCATTCCCAGTCTCGTGTACTAAATATAGTTCATGGTTATTGTTTTGCTATTGTGTCTGAAAATCGGACAGTGAAAGTGTTAAATTAATGGGATTTACGAGTATTATATACCGCATGGTGATGTTGTAAACGAATTCATTAAACCCATTTCTTCTCGTAAAAGTCGTAAGAGACGACCATAGGATACGCCAAACAGATCTCTATATACTTTGATATGACTATAGAATAAGAGTGACAAATGAACATACTGTACTGTGGGCCATAGACATCTACATTTATCGCTGATTAAGTATCAAAACGCAGTTAAGTGTCACCCCTGAGGACTAAGACGGAATGCCTCCTTTCCACTAAAAAGGTTTTCCGGATCTCTACACTCACCATACGAAACACAGCAGTATTAAGCTGCTATTTTAGGCTGGTATTCTGTGACGGCGTGGTCCTTCCCCTGTCGACTATAATACTCTATCAACTTTAATATAACTGCAGCGTGGCTCTACCACTTATAAAATAAATAGGGAATAGCTTCCGATAAATGGCGTACCTAATTACCTTGTTTACGTTTACGCCAGATATAAAACTATAAGACCGGCGACGGGCAGCATGTTTAAAGGCGCGAGATATTATTATTATTTATGGCACTGTAATCGTCAATCAGTCTGCCTAGTGTAACAGTTAAGGTAAATCCTTCCTACCTTAGTTGATAGGGCTGCTTTTCTAACTGGGCGTCTGTCACAAAGACAAAAAATCTCTTGTCCAAAAAATTATATGCCCTAAATAATTGAAATTGCACATAAGAAGACTACGTAAAACTAAAAATGGAGGCGTAATTATTGGCACTGAAATACCCGAGAATATTAAGGAGCTAAAAGAATCAACCCAGCTTAGTAGTTCCAGTCTAAAGGTGGAAGAGCCCCATAAAAAAGACCAAGAATCATAGTCTTAGATATACCTTAGCGAACGAGACGTCTTTAATTGCATTTATGAACAAAATTTACTTGACCTGATCTAGAAAGGTACCATCTTCGGTCATAGATCGACTCGACTGGGGCAGAACCACGCTCTCACAGAATACCAGCGTGAAATAGCGGCGTAATGCTGCAGTTTTGTATAGTGAGTGTAAAGTACCGAAGATCCTTTTAACTGGAAACGAAGCATTCTATCTAGGGTAACGACGCATCTGAAACTTGATTCTTAGTCGAGGATAAATATAGATGGTTATGGGCCACAACATGCACTTACCATCAGGTGGACTGTGTGTTCGTATGCCACCATTATCCCATTAAAAAAAACTATTTCTGCCGCTAAATAGCAAAGTTTGGACATCTCTGTTCCAATCTGAACGGTATATAGATCCAGGGTTGAAAGGCATTCCATTCTAGTGGTCAGAGGTGACAATGCATCTTTAGCCTTCTTTTTTGGTGTAAATTACTTTAATTTATTTAAAAAAAAAACACTGGGCGAGGTTCAAGTTCAGCAATGGACTTTTGGGATCTAATGGCAAAAAAAAGAAAAAATTAACACTGCAATTGCTTTTTCACACGTTAAAATACAATCGAATTATTTTAATTTACTCAAGAAGCTGTGTTATCTCAGATGGTTAGCGATGGCTGTTAATTTCATTGTACGCGAGCAAATTGCAATTTAAGTGCTGATTTCGTGCTTCACTGTGAAAAAAAAACATCGTTAGTAAACCTGCATGTCCGAGAAATAGGAAATAATATTATAATACATGTGAAGTTCGCCAACACGCGCACATCAGCAGGGCAGCGCGGCGGACAATTACTTGCCCTAAAACCTTTCAGAAATGGGCGAAGGGAGGCCTGTGTCCCCAGGGACGTATATCGTGAGATGTATATAGGCTGTAACCTTTACTTTTTTAACTTTAACTCAAAAAGTAACTATAATGATTTCTTAAATTTACGCGAACACTACACATTGAATAAAACTATTATTTAGGATTTTTTTTTTTTGTTTTTTTTGTAATTAGATTTGTATATTGCTAAATAGAACTGGCATTTTTTTTGTATATAATAGAAAATTATAGAGAAATTAAGAGTCAATTTTATTTTTAAAAAACAAGCATAGATACAATAAATTCTACAAACAAATTATTAATGTCAGATAAATAATAAACCTGTAAACAAGTTTCTTGTCGAAATTGAAAATTCAGCAAAATAATTTTCTGCAAATATCGAAGCGCATTGTTATCTACTACCGTCCCTCTTGAACTGGCTGGCACTAAGCCTGCAGAGAATTAATTATCTGCTTGAAACAAGCCTATCCAAGGCAGCCTTTTATACCTACGTATCTATGCGGTTGCTATATACCGGCGTATCTGTATAGATTTCCACAGAGTTTAACTTCAATATTAACTATTGAAACATAATAGTTGGCTATTGTTATTGTGAAATAGCCTTTATATTAATAGAATTCGACGCCTGAAGCCTGCCTTAAATGGAACCCTAAAACTGTAATGTTGGTATTGATTAAAACTACTTTTAGGGATTTTATCGCGTTTAATTTTAAATGATCTTTAATTCTCGAAGTTTCGGGTGCTTTCCAGCACCCATGGTCACGGGAGACTGAGTTGACTGATGACCCAATATTACGGTTGTAGCTCTAATGGGTCGGCTCGACCAGGGAAGGAGCACGATCTCACAGAATACCAGCGCAAAATAGCAGCTTAATACTGCTGTGTTTCGTATGGTGAATGTAGACATCCGGAGACATTTTTTTAACTGAAAACGAGGCATTCCATCTTACTACTCATGCATGGCAACTCAACTGTAAACATAAATGTAGATGTCTATGGGTCATAATATCACTTATCATCAGGTTGACTGTGTGCTCGTCACCTTTAAACTATTCAAAAAAATTCACCGTACCAAAGACGGCAGCATAAGCTGTAATTTGTTTTTATTTGTATTAAGTTGATCAAGCAAGTAAATGAGTTTGTATATTTGGGCTGCGTATTTAGCAGGGATGGGAGATATGATAAGGATATAGAACGAAATAAAGTAAATGGGGCCCTGCACTCTATTTTGAAGAGTCAAAATGTGTCAAAAAAGGCACGTATGGCAATTCACAATGCTGTGTTGGTCCCTACTTTAACGTATGGTAGTGAAAGTTGGGTGTGGCAGAAGAAGCACGAGAGTCGAATCAACGCAGTAGAAATGCGGTCGTTAAGGAGTATGTTAGGGCTGAATCTGAACGACAGGGTAAGAAATTGTGTAATAAGAGAAGAGTGTGGTTTGCAAGATGATGTTATGACCAGGATTAAGAAAGGAATGCTTCGGTGGTTTGGTCATGTGGAAAGAATGAATGAGAAAAGAGTGACAAAAAAAATTTATGTTGCAGAAGTGAATGGCAGAGTCGGAAAGGGACGTCCTAGGCGAAAATTTATCGACCAAATTGGCGATTTATTGAAAACGGGCCAAATTAGGAGTACCCTTAACCGACGAACATGTATGCGTAGGTGTATGGATGTGAAGGAGGCGAGAGAGGTGTGTCAGGATCGTGCCAAATGGAAGTCTGTAGTCTCTGCCTACCCCTCTGGGTGACAGGCGTGAGTGTTTATGTATTATGTATGTATTTGTATTAAGAAATATATTATAATATCTTTGTCTAGATTCGACTGCGGCAGCGGCGCTGGTATTCTCCGATCCCCGGAACCGGTGCGTCTTGGCCGCTGGAACACGATATCCGTGTACCGCCATCGCTGGGACGCCTGGTTGCGTCTCAACAGCGGTAAACGCGTCCGAGGACGATCCAAGGTAAGCTCTAATTACTATCTAAGCGACAGTAGCCTAATGGCAGGGCGCGGACCGCGAACTCAAAAAGGTCGTGGGTTCGAATCCGCCATTTCGATTTCGAATCAACCACTTCGTAACACAAGCAATTTAAGCTTACCACGAGTGGTTAAGGGGAATATTAGTAATGTTTATAGCATTGTTAATATTGTTTTAAAAAAATTACGTAAAAATATATTATAATACTATGCACATAAATGTACCGAACGTACTTAATTCTTATTGCATACTTAGCAACCTACTTTCGGCGTGTATCGCCGCCGCACGTAATATTTTATAACTTTAATTAGTGTACAATAAAACTTCTTATCAGCAACAGCCAACCTGATATAATTTTTTAAGCTACCTTAAAATAGATAATTTCTCACCACGCCATGGGTTGACTGGCAGAGAATGCTAACTGGCATTAAGTCCACCCTTCGTAACCTTTATGGTTAGAACAATAAAGCTTTTAAATTAAATGAATAAATAATATGAAAAAGAAAAATATTACATAATTATGTTTTGTTACAAACAGCTTCGGTGAATTATAACATCCAAGTTTCAATAAAGGAGATGGTTGGGTGCTACCATCTGCTTGGGATCCTATAATTAATAAAATTAAATCCAAATAAAAACTATATCACTGCAAGATTTCAAGATACTGTAAGCTCGTCCTGCGTAGATTGGACCAAAAATTAGTATTCTAAAGCTAAGACGGCCCGGGCTAACTTTGACTTCTGAACGTCAAATACCTCATTCCTCCCCCTTACCATGGGTGCTTTAAGCACTTAAAACGTAGGACATTAAAATAAGTAAAATTTGAGTTAAATAAATCCGAGAAAATCCGTAAAGTTATTTTTATTAAACGTCTCCTTAAATAATTTGTCACAAAGCAGTCAGTATCTCATTTCTGACAATTGAGGGTAAAAAAAAGTAAAGTAAAGTTACAGCCTATATTCGTCCCACTGCTGGGCTCAGGCCTCCCCTCATTTCTGAGAGGGTTTAGGGCAAGGAAGTGTCCGCCGCGCTGCCCAAATGCGTGTTGACGAACTTCACATGTCTTCGAAATATTTTTTTTCTTATTCCTCAGACATGCAGGTTTCCTCACGATGTTTTCCTTCACCGCCGAGCACGTGGTAAATCAGCACTTAAAATTGCAATTAACAATTTCATTGGTGCCGGCGGGGTCGAACCCGGGACTCGCGTTCTGTTATGTTTACAGCGAGCTTTAACCACTGAGCTACCACGGCTCTTGTATAATTGAGGGTAAGGAAATGAATTAAATATTTTAATTAACAATTTTTATTGACCGTCTTCTGCAGTATTCGTGATAAAATTTTCATAATATGAATCGGTTCTTTAATAATGACTATTTATGAAGTTTTATTGACATTCGAATTTTACGGAATCCATTGCTTGTTACTGATATTATTTATTTATAGGTTTTTCATTCTTTCATTACAGTTACCGTTACTAAAGTTAATAAAGTTCACTGTTGAACATAGGCCTCCCCCATAGATTGCCTCATAGAGGAGGATATTTGCCATAATTGTTACTGTTGATTTAATAATTTCACCTCTTAGTGAGTCATGTGCTCCTGGTAGATTATCTTCTATACATCCATTCATTACTACCTAGTTAGTCCACAGCTGAACATAGGCCTCCCCCGTAGATTGCCTCATAGAGGAGGATATTTTTGCCATAATTGATATTCATAGAGGGGATATTTGCCTTAGTTGTAATGTTACAGTTGATTTCATAATTTCATCTCTCAGTGAGTCATGTACTCCTGGTATGTTACCTGGTATGTTATACATCCATCCATTACAGCCTATAAAATGTCCACTGCTGAACTGAACTGAACTGAACTGAAAGCCATAGGTTGCCTCGTAGGGGGGATATTTGCCATAGTTGCCATGCTTGTCAAGCAGTTTGAAAACTGCAATTTTTTTTATTCGTTATTAGAAATACGCTGCTGCCCATCTCCTGAATTTGTTTCCCTCTATCGCCTCTTTCGGCACCCACGGGACAATATTTACGGGATTAACCGCAACAGCACGGTAATTTTTTTCATTACAGCCTAATGAAAGCCCACTGCTGAATATAGGCTTAACCTACATATTCACGTATAGGGATTTTTAAGCTATTGCATAGCTTCTATCGCGGGCCTTGAGCGCGGGGACCGAATCCAGAAATTCCGTAACGAAAAAAACCTCACGCTCCCCACTCCGACGGGCACGGAGGTGTGGCGTTGAAAGCCGTGCATCGTCTAACGTCGTTTCAGTTCGGCAGACTTCGGCACTCGGCAGACTTCGGCACGGTGTTTGTGTGCGTGCGACTAGTCGTATGCGTGTACACTAGCTGCTAACTGAATGATAAAAATTCCTGAATAACCTACATGTATTGTAAGATATTAAAAATATTTTAAACAATATTAACTTCTCATTTATACAATAAGAGAAAAAAAATTGTTTTCTTATCGGTCACCACGCTCAAAAAGTGTAACTTGATTTAATATCAAAGACTTAACTGCATAAATAAAATAAATAATTAATTATAATTGCATAAGTTGATAAAAAATGCTATGCAATAGCTTTACCGCGGCAGTCCCCGAGTGCCACACGTCTTTTTTTTAAGTTTTTTTATAGGATAGGGTTACAAACGAGCACACAGTCCACCTGGTGGTAAATGGTTGCTGTTGCCCATAGACATCTACATCTATCCTCGATTACGAATCAAATTGCAGATGCGTTGTCACCCGTGAGGACCAAGATGCCTCGTTTCCAGTAAAAAAGGTCTGCCAACCTGCCTGCCAAAGTTGTCACGTTTGGCAGGCAGGTTGGCGATTCCTGATTTTTCATTATTTTGAGTTGTTAGGAATGATACGGATTTCCTTATACCACTACATTTTTTTTACAATTGCAGCTACCACATACTTCGTCTGCTCAGAACTGAAACAAAATGAACCTTCAGATTTTTAGTGTTATTTGGGCAGGTAGTTGTATTTTTTATTGTTATCTCGAAATCTATGAACAAAATATAAAACAAATAAAAACAAAAATTGAGAATCTATTGTTTGTTGTCAAATTATCGACTTCAAAAAAAACTTCACGTTTTTCATACAAAAGAACTTTGAACAGAATAGTTCATAGAATCAATAAATACTAAACCAGTTATCTCATTGTGTAGCTCAAATATTCATAAATGTTAAATGTCAAACGAACTTGGGTTTTAATAATTATAAATAGAAAATCAGGTAATAGGTAGTTTAACCTTAGATGAAATTAAAAAAAATTGATATATTTTTATTATCTTTCGAAGGGTCTAGTTGCAAGTTGAAATTATTTTATGACAGAAAACTGAAAGAATAAACACATTTTCTTGAGCTAGTAATAATACCAGTTATTTTTAAATATTTGAAAAGAACTAAAATTCGCTAACGCTCGAACATACAAACATGCAACGAGCAAAGACAAAGAGACATTGTTTTAAGAGATTAGATATAATTAACGGTAGGAATATAGGACCGTAAAATTATAGGCGCTTTGATGATTGCTAGAAAACCAATGCAATATCGACAATAGACAATAATAAAAATTATAAAAACAAAGTTTTTATATAAACATAAAACATAAATCTTGAGAATAGTGCAATAGTATAATCTGGATTTTAGAAACCTCAAAAATAGCGACCATGTTTATATGTACCGCGTCTCCACTTCTGAACAATGTTTAAAGATTCAAGTCTCTAGCTGATTAAGAAGCTAGTATAAAATCGATTACAACTTTGTACTGATTAGTCATGCTCAGTCAGACTCATAATTGAACTACGAGGGTGGATTGAAAAGTACTCGGCCTAACACAGATCCATTCAATTCTAAAAATCAAATCTACCCATATTATTTAGTTCAGTTCAGACTAGTTCATTGTGTGAAGTTCGAAACGTGTGCGATAATTAGTTGTGATTTTATAAATTTATTAACAAAGTAATCGGACATAATTTCCGCGAATGGAGCAAATCGAGCAGCGTGCCGTCATTAAGTACCTCCATAAGAAGGGGCTATCATCAAAAGCCATCCATGATGACATGGTCAGTACATTAGGCGATTGTGCTCTGTCATATTCATCCGTCAAAAAATGGATAGCAGAATTTAAGCGTGGTAGAGAGAGTGTGAAAGATGAACCCGCTCTGGAAGGCCTTCGACGTCAACTACTGACGAAAATATTAAAAAAGTACTTGATTTAATAATGGGAGACCGCAGATTAAAAATTAGAGAGATAGCCGAGATTATAGGCATCTCTTATGAATGAACTCAAAACATCATTGTCAACGAGTTGGGTTTCCACAAGGTGTCTGCGAGGTGGGTTCCGCGACTGCTTTCAGTTGAACAACAAAGAACGCGATTGACTATTTCACGCGACTGTTTGGAGTTATTTGAAGCCGATGCAGATGATTTTTTGAATCGTTTTGTTACTATGGACGAAACATGGGTTCATTACTGTACACCGGAAACAAAACAACAATCAAAACAGTGGAGAAGACCTGGTTCACCACCCCCTAAAAAAGGCTAAGTCGATTTTGTCGGCAAATAAGGTGATGGCTTCAGTATTCTGGGACTCGAAAGGTGTGATTATGATTGATTATCTTGTAAGGGGTCAGACTATAAACTCTGATTACTACTGCACCTTACTACGTCGTTTACGAGAGGAAATAAAAGAAAAACGTCGAGGAATGCTCAGAAGAAAAGTCCTGTTTCATCAAGATAACGCCCGTGTTCACACGTCAGTACAGTCAATGGCTGAAATTCACAACTGTGGCTTTGAACTGTTACCGCATCCGCCGTATTCACCTGATCTGGCACCATCAGACTTCTTTCTGTTCCCTAACCTAAAAAAGCACTTGGGAGGTCAAAGATTTTCGACAACGACGAGGTCAAAGCAGCTGTAGACGCATATTTTGACTCTAAGGAAGAATCATTTTTT